TTACGATAAAAACCGTAAAACTTCGCTTTCTCGATAAAGAATTCGAAGAAATCGTATAAAACGGCAACGGTTAAACGAAACACCGAACATTGCCTAAACTATACGATTTATTCGAAATTTCTCGTTGAAATCATAAAAAACGCGTTTTTAATAAAAAACGTCGAGTAAATCGTAAAAAACATATTTTTAATAAAAAGTCGAGTAAATCGTAAAACCTTACGATTAACTCGAGGAATTTATTAAAAACGATGTCAGATCAGGAAACGATCCCGTAAAAGTCGGAAAACGAATTTATCGCAAAATGGTCCGGAAGGACCTAAAACGCGATAAAAACCCATCTCGCGATCTTAACGGAATCTAACCCGCAGATTTGATAACGTTTTGACGGTTTACTCGCAGAAGAAGAATAAATTTCAAGCTTGAAGATAAAAGGCAAGTTTGAAGAAGAATAGAAGATTTCCGCGGAAGAAAAGGAAGGATCGAGAAAAATGGAAGATTCCCGATTTAGTCAAATCTGGGCGAAATGGAAAGACCGGATGGCCAAGGCGAGTAGTATATAAATAAGAGGTCTAGCGCAGAAGCAAGACACACGAAATTCAGAGCTCTCACCACCAAAACTAGCATTTAGGAATATTTCCGTTTTCTGTTAGCGAGCTGCGTCTCAACTAGGGTTTTCATTCTAGACTTTTAGGGTTCTCGCCGACGGCTCATACGGCTTAGGCTTATCTCGTTGTACCAGTTCTTACGCAGATTCGGAATAAGAACTAGGCCTGGGCATCCGGGTCCTCGGGTCGGGTTCGGGTCAGGTCTTGTCGGGTCCGGGTCCTTCGGGTCCTGAAAATTTGGACCCATATAGGTACCTATAACTTTTCGGGTCGGTTCCGGGTCGGGTCTTATCGGGTCCGGGTCGGTTCGGGTCTATAATTTCAGTACCCGTAAAATACCCATAATTTTCGAGTATACTTCGGATCCGGGTCGGTTCGGGTATTTAGGACCCGAAAAGGACCCGAATAACCAAAGTAGACCCGAAAACCCGAAAATTACCCGAAGAACCGCCGAAATACCCGAATATATCCAAAAATTATAAAAAATCAGACCCGAAAACCCAAAAAATACCCGAAATTTTACCCAAATACCCGAATTATATTTTCTGAAAATCTAAAATTTTACCCGAAACCTAAAATTATACCCGAAAACCCGAATCCGGAAATTTTAAAAATACCCAAAATACCAAAAATATACCCAAACACCTAAATATACCTTATATATGCAATAATTTGCGGGTACTACGGGTACCCGAACGGGTCTCGGGTAGGACCCGGACCCGACCCGAGACCCGTGGGTCCAAAGAAAAAGGACCCAATAGGTACTTCAGCATGGACCCGGATCCGGACCCAAACCTGTATTTTCGGGTCGGTTCCGGTTCGGGTTTTCGGGTCCGGGTAAAATGCCCAGGCCTAATAAGAACCTCTTTGCTCTCGATTTTCGTTTATCCTTTTAATAATTCTAAGTTTATCGTTGTCTTAATCTTCGTTGTGCGGTTCTGCAGATAGCCGGTTCCTTTGGAAACTTAGGGTTTTCCCGAAGTTTCCTTATTTACGATTATTTGACAGTAGGTGGATTTCGACACCCACATATCGCGCTCGCTCCTGTTCCCACATCTTCCCAACGTCCTTAGCCGCCAGACAAGAATCACCTTTAGATGTCGTCCTACACGAATTCAAAGACGTTTTACCGCAAGAACTTCTCGAAGGATTGCCACCCCTCTGCGATTTACAGCACCAAATCGACCTTATCCCTAGCGCAACTTTGCCTAATCATCCCCATTATCGGATGAGCTCTATGGAGCACGAAGAATTGCGTCGACAGGTTGAGGAGTTACTTCGCAAGGGCCACATCAAGGAGAGCTTAAGCCCATGCGCAGTTCCAGCGCTTTTAATTCCAAAAAAGGATGGGTCATGACGAATGTGCGTAGATAGTCGCGCTATCAACAAAATCACAGTCCGATATAGATTTCCCATTCCACGTCTTGACGATTTACTCGATCAGATTGGCTCAGCGAAGATATTTTCCAAAATTGATCTCAAGAGTGGTTACCATCAGATTCGTATTCGTCCGGGAGATGAATGGAAGACAGCTTTCAAGACGCGAGAAGGCTTATTTGAATGGCTCGTTATGCCCTTCGGTTTGTCAAATGCGCCTAGCACATTTATGCGTATCATGAATCAAGCTTTGCGACCATTTATCGGGCGGTTCGTAGTGGTTTACTTTGATGATATTTTGGTCTTTAGCTCTTCTCTTGCTGATCATGAAAATCATCTACGCCAAGTGCTCGCGGTCCTCCGTGCGCAACAATTTTATGGCGCTAAACAAAAATGCGAATTTGGTGTGACAGAGGTACTTTTTCTCGGGTATGTGGTTTCTGATAAAGACCTCTCCGTCGATAATTCTAAGATCGAGGCAATACGTTCGTGGCCTACTCCTACAACGGTGTCCGACGTTCGCAGTTTCCATGGTCTTGCTTCTTTTTACCGAAGATTTGTCAATCACTTTAGTACCATCATGTCGCCTATTACAAGTTGTATGCGGGATGGCAAATTCGAGTGGACTCCAGAAGCTGCTCACGCCTTTGATTTAATCAAAGAAAAGCTGACGACAGCTCCAATTCTCGTCCTTCCCGACTTCTCTGTTCCGTTCGAACTCCATCGCGACGCTTCTAAATTGGGAATTGGCGCGGTACTTAGCCAGTTGGGACGTCCGGTCGCATACTTTAATGAAAAATTGGCGGGCGCGCGCGGTCGTTACAGTACTTATGATGTTGAATTTTACGCAATCGTGCAAGCCATCAAGCATTGGCGACATTACTTGGTTCACCGCGAGTTCGTATTGTTCACCGACCATGATGCTTTGCGACATTTGGATAGTCAGGCCAAAGTTTCTGCTCGTCTTGCAGGCTGGATATCCTATTTACAACAGTTCACTTTTTCAATCTGTCATCAGTCCGGTAAAAATAACCGTGTCGCAGATGCTTTAAGCCGACGACATGGGCTACTCACCACTTTACATACATCAGTTCCCGGGTTCGCGTCCTTTGCCGATTTATATCCTAGTGATTCATTCTTTGGCCGCATATTTACAGCCACAGCTCAGGGTGTGTATGATGATTATACGATCCAGGATGGATTTTTGTTCAAGGGTCTGCGTTTGTGTATTCCGAAGTGCAGTTGGCGTTTGTAGATTATCCGCGAGCTTCACACGGAAGGCCATGTGGGTCGAGACAGAACACTTCAGTGAGTAATGGCATCGTACTTCTGGCCTACACTTCGTCGTGATGTGGAACGATTTGTTGAACGTTGTCGGATCTGTCAAGAGTCTAAGGGAAAGGCGTCTAATGCGGGTCTCTACTTGCCTCTTCCGATTCCAACGCAGCCTTGGACGGATGTCAGTATGGATTTTGTCCTTGGTTTACCGCGTACACAACGGGGTCATGATTCTATTTTTGTTGTCGTCGATAGATTTTCCAAGATGGTACACTTCATCGCCTGCAAAAAAACAACAGATGCCGTCAACGTCGCTGGTTTATTTTTCCGCGAGGTTTATCGTCTTCATGGGCTTCCGGCTTCAATTATGTCCGATCGAGACACTCGTTTCCTTAGTCACTTTTGGCAGTCTCTTTGGAAACTTTTGGGTACATCTTTGGATATGAGCACCGCTTATCATCCCCAAACCGACGGTCAAACTGAAGTCACGAATCATTCTTTGGGAAATATTCTTCGATGCCTCGTCGGTGACAACATCAAGTCGTGGGATACAAAGTTGGGACAAGCAGAATTCGCACATAATCATGCAGTTAACCGTAGTTCCGGGTTTTCTCCATTTCAGGTCGTTTATGGCATTGTTCCTCGTGGACCTTTGGATCTGACTACTACGCCTGATCAAACTCGACATCATGGGGAAGCAGTGGATTTCTTCTCTAGTTTGCAGGATATTCATCGTCAGGCTCAGTCCAATTTGGAGATTGCGACTGCTAAGTATAAAGACGCTTCTGATCGCAAGAGGTGTGCGGTGCATTTTCAACCAGGGGACTTGGTTTGGGTTTATCTCACTAAGGAGAGACTTCCTTTACGAGACTATAATAAACTTAAGTCCAAGAAATTGGTCCCATCGAGATTCTAGAGTGCATTAACCCCAACGCTTATCGAGTGCGTCTTCCTTCTCATATTCGAACTGCAAATGTGTTTAATGTTAAACATCTATCGCCGTTCCATGCCGAGGATGATGCCCCAGATTCGAGGGCAAATCCTTCTCCCCCCGGGGGAACCTGATGCAGCGTAACTTGTGATCATTCACGATCACAACATCTATTTCTTTTAGGACTTTCCTTTTATTTCATGTTGCCTTTTCTCTGAAGTTTTATGTTTTCTATTTAGGTTTAGGAACTTCTTTACCGCCCTTATAACTACTATATAAGGGGAGTTCGATGATCATTATTTACACAATACAGATTAATAAAGATTTCAGTTTTATAAAGAGTTCTCAAACGAACACTGCGAAGAGTATTCGCAACCCTAAAGAGTTCTAACGAACACTGCGAAGAGTATTCGCGCCTTTTCTATCGTCACTTTGCCTACAAGTTAGGTTTGTAGCTTCCGCTCTCTATCACATTGACAGATAAGTATGTTGATCCATGGTTTCTAAATGTAGAAGTCTTTAGTTTGATTCCATAGAATAAGACAGTGTAGAGAGAAAATATAGAGATATATAGGCTAAAGATGCTCTCAGTGCTTTGTAGAATTGGAGAAAAATAATATTATTGAATTGTATTATTCTGATGTCTCATAATGACTTACAGATTAGTTGTATATATAAACACATTTAGACATATCCCAACTATTTCTTAAAATCCTTGCAGGTCTGAGTCTGAGCTCATAGATGAGATTGTAAGAGATTCTTTGACAGCCCTCTGCTCCAGTTACAAGGCGACCACGGTTGGGAGGGATATGGAGATAAAGGAAATTTTGTCACTGCTATGCACTGAGTCTCTAGATGTTCGCAGCATAGGTATATGGGGTACGGTTGGTATAGGAAAAACAGCCATTGTTGAAGAGATCTTTCGCATAATTTCTGTCCAATATGAGACTTGTGTCTTCCTTAAGGACCTTCATAAAGAAGTAGAGGTAAAAGGGCACGATGCCGTGAGGGAGGACTTTTTGTGTAAAGTTTTAGAGGTAGAGCCAGATGTCTTACGTACTTCGAACATTAAAACAAGTTTCTTGAGGAGTAGGCATGGGCGTAAAAGGGTCCTCGTTATTCTCGACGATGTGAATGACTTGAGAGATGTTGAAACTTTTTTGGAGAACCTTAACTATTTTGGTCCAGGAAGCAGAATAATCATAACCTCTAGGAACAGACGTGTTTTTGTACTTGGTAAAATCAATCATGTATATGAGGTCAAGCCATTAGATATTTTGACGTCTCTACAACTTCTCGATCGGGGAGTACTTCAGAATGTTTTGTCACCTGAGGTTTACAAGACGCTGTCACTTGAGCTGATCATATTTTCAAATGGAAATCCACAGGTTCTTTAATTTTTGAGCAATAGAAAATGGAATCGGCTAGACTGAGGCCATGTAAATAAATGGAACCTAGACAACATGGTGTCGACAGGATCAAGAACATCTTGTCGGATCCGAGCATCGCAAGCATTAATAGTCAAGAAGAAGAATTTGAGCAGTTGAAGAAAGATCATGGAAAGAACCTAGCTAGGCAAAATAATTAACAATTACTTAAGTAATCGAAGTATGTTGTAACGACGGCTCAGGCCATGTAACATGTAGGTCAACAGATTTGTAGCTTCATATGGCCACAAAACATCTATCTTGTTCACCAAGTTACGGTATGGCTTCCAGTTGTTCCATTCCCGAACATAAGCTTGAGCTTTGCCTTGTAAGAAAAACGATCTGTTTACATAACCTTCAGCTTCGGTTTGCAAGGAAGGAAATTCACCTATTCTGAGTGGTGTTGACGTTATTGGTGGAAAACGATATTCTTTATCTGCTTCACGCATCCATCCTTCAATCATCTGTTTGAAAAGACTAGAATAGTCAATGTCTGACATATTTTGATTTTTGGTGACATTATGATCTTGTACATGGTTTGCCATGGAAGATTCAGTCAACAAGAAAAAGATGAAGAGTTTTATGGCGAGAGACATTAGAGGCGACATCAAATAAGGCTTATGAAAAGAAAAAAAAAAGGTTTTCTGTATTCTTTCTGACCTCTTAGATGTTCAGTTATATATATATACTAGGATCGGCCTGGGAAGTTAAAATAAAAAGGGAAATTTGTGAAGAATACCAATTTCCTTATACACATTTTCAATTTTACACTAATCACTTTTGCCTTCAAAATTTTAATGTAAGAAATACCATCATACCACTAATTAACTAAAACTAAAGTTAATCTTCTTCTTTCTTCTGAGTTGGAAAGCTTCGACGACGATCCCTCAGAAAACTCCACTGAGCTTCACCACTCTCTCCGTTCTCCGAACCCGATTTCAAATCGGACCCTTCTCCGACTCAAAAGCACTCGTCAATTTCTGGGACGGATCCTCTTACTCTTTTATTGAGAAGCTGGGTTTTTTCGTCTCCTGATTCGCTAATTGAGCGTTTTTAATTACAATTCACTGCTTTGTATTGATCTCTCTCTGTGTGTGTATTTTACTTCAGAACATGCGTGGCCATCGCTGGATCGGATTACTGCGTTATCGCCGCTGATACTCGGATGTCTACCGGTTACAGTATTCTCACTCGCGATTACTCCAAAATCCATAAACTGTAAGTACCACCACCCTCTCTTTGGGTGAAGTAATATTATAGTGCTAGCAATAGCTCCAGGCCTCGTTGTAGATTATTAGGGTCTTTGTTATAGCAAAATATGGGTTTTTGCAATCGGTGATTCATAGATCTGGAAGAAGAATTAATGATTTTGTTTTTGGGTTTTACGCAATCAATCGTATCATTTTTTGTTAACTGAGTACGCAAAGTTTCTGTCTTTTTAACTCCTCCAGAGCAGACAAAGCTGTGCTCTCTTCTTCCGTAGGTGCTCTAAACTACTACTGTGTGTTTGTTTCCTGCGATCTTGAGACTTCCGTAGTTGTCTATGTGCAAGGATTATTGTGCTTGAGATTCTACATCTTTAATAGACTGTGTTCTAGTTGAGTCTTCTTTGTTTCCCGTTCCAAGATCTGTAGCTATAGTGCTAGTTTCTCTGTGCTTTTGATATTTAGACTCTCTATTATTATATCACTGAAGAGTTTTGCTACCATCTTACTATCCTCATTTGAAATTTTCGATATTAGATTGGTATCTTGCTACCATTGATACACGCATCTCTCTTTATGATAATACTCTAGCATTATATTTCATAAATTACCACTTGGATGTGTTCTGTGTTCAGCTTTGGGAAATCTTTGTTATTCAAATCGGTTTGATGTTTCCCTAACTTTTTTTTTTCAAGTTAGTAACTGTATCTACTCCCTCTTCATCTTCCTTTGCTCTCCACCCCTGTCACAGTTCACGTGTTCGTAACCGTTACAATCCAATATCTCCAAAGTTTTCAAAAACTGTGGGCGAAGCAGAGTTTAAGGCGCAACAGTCCTTTGAGATTTTCAGCTGTAGATGATCGAGTTCGTGAACCTGCCAACAATGCTTCCTCTCCGGTGGCGTTAGCAGAGGAGCACAAAGAAGATCACTCCAACAACAATGGTCCCCCTTCTCCGGAAAGCACTGATGAAGAAGATGAAGAGAAATCTAAGCAGCAAGAGATGGACTGGAAGACGGACGAGGAGTTCAAGAAGTTCATGGGGAATCCATCAATAGAAGCTGCTATAAAGCTTGAGAAGACAAGAACTTATCGTAAGCTGAAAGAGCTGAACAGAGAGAGCAATAATGAGAATCCAATCATCAGAATATTCAACAGCTTGGCTCGTGATAGTTCGGTTAGAGAGAAAGAACGGCTTGAGAAGGCAGAAGAGGCTTTCAAAGCTCTTGATCTCAACAAGGTAAACTAACCATCACAACTGTGTTCATTTCTTGAATGTTTGGATTTGCATAGTTTTGAAACTGTTTGTGTTGTATGACAGTTAAAGAGCTGTTTTGGTTTCGATACGTTTTTCGCTACGGACGTACGTCGGTTTGAAGATGGAGGAATCTTCATTGGGAATCTGAGAAAACCTATTGATGAGGTCACACCTAAGCTTGAAGCAAAGCTTTCTGAAGCAGCGGGACGTGATGTTGTCGTCTGGTTTATGGAAGAGAAGTCCAATGAGATCACAAATAGGTCATAAAAGACTTCAAGATTCTCTAAAACTTCTATGTTCTTGATCTCATGATTAAGGCTGACCTTATGGATTGTTTCTGTTCTTTGTTGTGCTTGTATAGGTGTATTAACTTTATAAATTATTTTTATAAACTCTTATAAATTATTTTTATAAACTCTTATAAATTATTTACATACCCTTATAAACTCTTACAAAGTATTATACAAACCCTTATAAATTGTTTTATAAGCCTTTTTAAATGGTTATAGACTGTTTTAGGGTATTTCTAAACCTATATAACTCTAATAATTCAATGGAGAAGCTCTCCTGAAAATTGAATGTTATTCTTACAAATTGATTTATAAACTCTTATAAATTGATTTATAAACCCTTATAAATTTTTGTATAAATTCATATGAATTGATTTATGAACTCTTAAAAATAAAGGGGAATTATGATCAGTAATGTTTTAATATGCTTTTTATTAGCTCTGATAGATAAAGCTATTAACAAGATTAAGCAAGCAAGTCTCAAGACTAATATTATAATCAGAAAGAGTAAGTTATAAGTCTCGGAGGGAATAAACAACAGCCAACAAAGAAACACAACACAAACTAAAGTGATATCATAGTACTTTATAAAAGCTTATAAATTGTTTTGATGTATTATCACAATCTCAGATAATCCAGATTTATAAAGTAACTTTCGGGGGTTTAAGTTGAATTATTATTATTTATAAACTAATTTTAGTTTTAAAAGTGTTATAAACTGATTTATAACCATTTAAAAACCCCTCATAAATTGATGTATAAAATTTATAATTTGTTTTTATAAACTTTATGAATGTTTTATAAACCCTTATAAGTAATTTTTAAATGGTGTATGAAATTTATAAACTTTATGAATGTTTTATAACCCCTTATAAGTAATTTGTAAATGGTGTATAAAATTTATAAACTTTATGAATGATCCATAAATTTGTTTTTTTATAAAAATCCTATAAATGTCTTGATAATCTCTAATAAATGATTTATAAGATTTTATAAAATATTTATAAACCCTTATATATAATTCATCTTTACCACTGCTAGATGTTTATTTTCAAAACTACCTAAAGTTTGAAATGAGTAATTGAAAATAACGAAAATAATCCTAGTTAGACTCTTATAATTGATTTAAAGACCTCCAATTGATTTCTAAACCTGTATATACCTATATAAACCTTATAAATTATATGCTTACCCCTTTTAAATTATTTATAAACTTTTATATTTTTTTGAATAAAGATTTATAAATAGTTTATATACTTTAAAAATTGTTTTATAAGCCCTTATAAATGTTTATAGACTCTTACAAATAATTGGTAAACCTTTATAAACGGTTTATAAAATTCATTAATTGATTTTAATAGTGAGAAGTAAGTTAGCAGCACTGTGAAATCAAATGAGCAACCAGCTGGCTATGTTTCTTCTTCTTCTACAACAGCAACAACCACCAATGCTGAAAGCTCTTTGTCCACTCCTATGATCAGTGAAGAGCTTAAGATGTATTCTCACCTCAAACGTTTACAATGCAAGAATTAATCAGATGATGATGGTCTGTACTAGTTTTTGGTCTCCTCTAGTGATGGTTGGAAATTCTCTAATTATTTTGAGTCTATTATTTGTAATGTTTATAAATTGAATTTGATTTGTATGAGTTTATAATTGACTTATAAGTGTTTATAAAGATATAAAATGGTTTACGAAGGTTTATAATGTGATTATAAAAGTTTTAAACTGATTTATAAAGGTTTATAAACTAATTTATTAAAGTTTATTAGTTAATTTATGTAATGTATTATTTATAACAATCTATAAGTTTGATTCATAAGAGTTTATAAACTGATTTAAAAAGGTTTAAAAACTAATTATAGGGTGTATAAGTTGATTTATTAATTTTACTAAATTGGCTTTTTATTTATAAGAAATTATAAACTGATTTATAAAGGTTTATAAATTACTTAAACAATGATTATAAACCAATTTTATAAGAATTTATAACTTATTTATAAGGGTTTATAAAATGATTAATAATGGTTTATAACATATATAAATGATTTATAAACTACACATATTTATGATGCATTTGATTTTTTAAATAGTATTGCAAATCCATATAAATTTTTTTATAAACCCATATTTTTTCAAGAGACTGGCTATGCATAAAAGAAAAAAAAAAGATTATTTATAAGCTTTCATAAATTTCTAATAAACCTTTATAAGTGGTATGGACTTACAAATAATTTTACATATCCTTATAAATTGTTTTATAAACTTTTATAAAGGTATATAATCTTTATAAATTGTTTTTATAAACATTTAAAAATTATTTACATATCCTTATAAACCCTTATAAATTATTTATAAGGGTTTATTAAATGATTTATAAGGTTTATAAACTGATCTATAGAGGTTTATAACTTAATTCATGAAAGTTTCTAAGTTAATGTATAAACTGATTTTTAAGGTTTTAGAAGTAATTTATTAATGTGTATGAATTCATTTTTACTTATTATCTTATTATATGATCTATATAATCTCTTATAGTAACTCTTATAAGTGGTTTTATAAACCTTATAAGATATTTAAACTGATTTATAAGGGTTTATAAACTAATTTATTAAGGTTTATTTGTTAATTTATGAAATATTTTATTTATAATGGTCTATAAGTTTGATTTATAAGAGTTTATAAACTGATTTAAAAGGTTTTATAAACTAGTTATAGGTTTATAGATTTTATAACTTGTTTTATAATTATAAAAGGTTCTTGATCCTGAAATGTGGATCAGCTTTATATTGATTCGGAGACCTGGATGTTGTGTGTGTGTGTGTTTCAGGGATTTGAAATTATACCGTCAGAGAACTTCACCTCTGCCTCGGTGATGGAAGCTGTTGGCTCTGTTATGACTAACAAGTAAAGTGAAGGCTACCCTGGTGCTAGATACTACGGAGGCAATGAGTATGTATAACATTTGTTTTCTTATGCTACAGTTGCATTCTTGTTTATGTTACTATCAGATGCTCAACCTCAATATTATTTTCATCTTTGTCACAATAGATACATTGGCATGGATGAGTCATTATGTCAAAAATGCGCACTAGAAGCTTTTCACTTAGATCCTTCTAAATGGGGAGGTGATGCAGATAATTATTCTTTGACATTTGAGTTAGCTGTAGTTAAACACATGCTAGTAGAAACCAAAATTTGATGTTATAAAGTTATCATAATATTTCACATGATAAGAACAGCCAAAGTATTAACAATAGTAAACTAGAGTTACTCAACGGATTATACTAATTAAATGGATCCTTAATTAATTGACTACTTGCCTTGGTCAACTATGGTGTTGACAAGATCAAAAGAAGCAATTGCTTGGTCTGGTGACTCTCATCTGACTATTTTCCTTGGCCACGTCTGTCCTCTGGTATTGACAAGAAGCTTCTTCTCTGTCTTGTTCTTCTTACAATAATATGTGAGGGTGAGATCCAAAACCATAGGTCTTGTAAGACCATCAACCACAAAAAATGTACAGCCTCTGAGTTCTCACACGCATCTCTTCTTCCTCCTATGTGTTCTCTTCCTAACATCCCTCTTTGTTACACTTTCAGAAGCTGTCTGTAACCCGCAAGATCGAGAATCTCTGTGGTTTCCGGGCAATGTTTCTTTTTCTGCTTCTCCTTTGAATTGGAACCTCTCCATTGATTGTTGGTCCTGAGAGGGAATAAGCTGCGATGATTCATCAGAAAGTCACGTCACTGCAATCTCCTTGCCCTTTAGAGGTCTCTCAGAAAATCTCAGTTCATCTGTTCAGAACCTTCACCGTCTCTCTTATCTTGATCTTTCTCACAACCATCTCTCAGGCCCTCTCCCACCAGGTTTGTTCTCGGCCCTTGACCAGATTTTGTATCTTGATCTCAGTTACAATCTATTCAATGGTGAGTTAACATTTGAACAAGCGTTTGGAGATGGAAACAATAGATTCTTCCCAATACAGACCTTTGATCTGTCAAGCAATCTTCTCCATGGTGAAATCCTCAATACTTCTATCTTCCTCCAGGGAGCTATCAACTTAATAAGTTTCAATGTCAGCAATAACAACTTCAGAGGTCCAAACCCTTCTTTCATTTGCATGTTTTCACCGCAGCTCAGTGAATTGGATATCTCTTATAATGATTTTAGTGGCCATCTCTCTCAAGGATTAGGCAGATGTCTGAGGCTAAGTGTTCTACGAGCAGGCTTCAACAATATCTCCAGTGAGATCCCAGGTGACATCTACAACCTTTCAGAGCTTGAGCAACTTTTTCTACCAGCCAATAAGCTTACTGGTAAAATTGATAATAACATCACCCGGCTCAAGAAACTAACCTCCCTTGAGCTTTACTTCAATCACCTAGAAGGAGAGATACCAATGGATATAGGTCTTCTCTCCAGCCTGAGAAGCCTCCAACTCCATAATAACAAACATCACTGGTACAGTTCCACTTTCTCTAGCAAATTGTACAAATCTCATCAAGCTGAACTTAAGGATCAGTCGTCTGGGAGGGAGCTTAAGAGAGTTTGAGTTTTCTCAGTTGCAGGTTTTGGATCTTGGAAACAATAGCTTCACCGGCGAAGGCAACTGATATCGGATCGGACCAACGGAACCAAATACTCGGATTAATAAAATAAGCTCTCTCTCTCTCTCTCTCTCACACACACACACACACACACACTTTCACTCTCCAATGGTGGCGACAAAATTAAGCAGAGACCAGTACGTGGCAAAGCTCGCCCAGGAAGCGGAGCAGGACATGGTACGCTTACGGTGAAAGAGCGAAACCTGCTTCAATCCTGCCCAAGAACGTGATCGGATCTCTAAGAGCCGCCTGGAGGATGTATTCTCCGTAGAGCACAAAGAGGAAAACTGTTTAGGGTTAGTTTAGTCATTGTAATTACACATCTTAGGTATTACTGAAAATGTCCCTCTACTAAAGGTAAAGTTGAATAATGGTACTATAGAATGTGTAAAACTGAAATTTTCCCAAATAAAAACTATTTTTATGAATTTATATTAATTTATAAAGTATTTAAAATCATTATAGAAAATAATATTGTAGAAAAATAAATAATTAAGAAAACTCTGAAAGCATATTATTATTTTTAATAAATATTTTTTGGTTTGAATTAAAATGACAGCAACTTTAATTATTTTCTATTTTTATAGAATACAAAATTAGCAAAAGTAATTCAGAAAATGTAATAATATAACTATTATTATTTCTAATTAAACTTTTAACATAATTTAAACAAAAATTTTAAATAAAAGAAAATTTTAGTTTTACAATAATTTTACACAAATTATTTCTTTCATGATAATAAATTAGGCTACCTCCAAACTAAGTTATTTACAATATAACTAACAAAATATTAAATCTAAATTTTATTAAAAAAAAAAGTTATGTAAATAATATTTTTTCAGTGCTCATGCACGGACATAAATATTTATAAAATAAATATATTATAATAATTAATTGATATTTACTCTAAATTTAAAAGTAATATAATATAATAAGAATATGTTTCTATACATTAGAAAATATAATAAAAATATTTTTTTGATAAATATTAAAAAAGAAAGTTCACAAAATAGTAATACTCCCATTAATATATATTATTAAATAACATAAAATATATTTTCAAAATAATTAAAATATATATGTTCATGAACTTCCAAAAATTTATCAGTTACACTTTATTTTCTAATATTTTTTTTAGAAATTAACATATAATTTAATAAATATTATGAAATACATGTATATTTAAGCGATAAATAAAAGTAATTTGATTTTATTTAACAAAAATAAAGAGTAAATAAATATTATGAATATACATGTATATTTACGCGATAAATAAAACTAATTTAATTTAACTTAACTAAAATAAAAAGTAGTTATACTTCAACTTTAATTTTAAAATATATTGAACTCAATATACTCACAAAATGAAATGAATGACTCCACTAATCTAATTTGTATCCAAAATTAAACATCTAACTACAATAAGAACATATAATTTTATAATAATAATAATAACATATTTAATTTTATACATATAAATTAGAGGTTGACTCAAAGTATATTAAAAAGAAAAAGAAAATATTTACCAATTACAGTTTAATTCTTTTGTAGAATTTATATATATGCATGAGATTTCAAAATATTATCATTATATTCATTTATGTAATTTTGAATCAAACACTTCAGCTTATTATTTATTTCATTTTAAGCACAATATATATTAAGTTATACATAGTTTAACTATACTATATTTACATATCTAAGAATATATTTACATATCTAAGAAAATAACCAACCGAAATGAAAATAAGAAAATTAGTCAAAGTTTTATTATATTTAGAATAAAAAATATTATAGCTGAACTCAAAAAATAGATATTATCCAATATACCAAATGGATAACCAAACCGACTATTGATACAAAAAAATAATTAAACCAACAATAACATATCCAATATAAGTAGAATAATATAATATTTATTAATATAAATTATACATATAAATTGATTAAAAAATAAAACTAAATATCAATCAATTATTATAAAATTTTACTTTTATGAATATTCATATCCGTGAGCACGGGAAAATCTATTGCTCAAAACAGAAAAAACTATCTCAACATTTTGTGTTGGTGCTAGAGCCGTATGAAGCACATTGTCTCTTCGTAAGCGCTTACAATATATGTATATATATATACTAGATTTTGACCCGCATAATTCGTGCACATATTTTTAATTTTATAAATGTAATATTTGATGTTATTGTAAATGTTTTAAATATATAATTTTCATTTTAGTGTTATATATTGTGGAATTCGCTTTTGTTTAAATAATTAAATAATATAGACATATTATTTTAGTGAATTATATATATAATAGAATCTATCAGATTATTTTAGTAAATTTAATTGATATATAATAGTTTTTGGATGTTATGATATTATTTTTTTGTAAGTAAATTAAGATTTACAAATATAAGATTACTTTAATTTTTACAGCATTAGTTTGTTATTCGTGTTACATTTCAAGAAGTTATTCTTTATTCTCTATAATTCTATCTTTTGCAAAATTTGAAATATTATCATTCAAAGCTTGAATATTTATTTTCAAAACTGTATATTTTGTCAAAAACAATTTGTAAAATTACACAACTATTTTTGGATTGGAAAATTATACAATTTTGATTTTTTACTACATAAATACATTATTTTATAAAATTAGTTTTAATTCTTGGTAAGAGTTTTTATATATTTCTCAAAAGATTTATTTTATAACTGATATAAATATTAAACTTATAATTGAAATTTTTTTTTCATTAATATTTAAATTCACTATTAAAATTTCAAAGTTGTACAATAACATATTATTAAATAGTAAACAACTAAAGGTTAGTTATAAACTATTATATTGAGAATTTCAAATAAATAAAAATAAAATACGTAGTTGTAAATATAAAAGTTTAAGATTTGTTAATTTTAAATAGTTTACGAATTTAACACATTTTCATGATGATTTATAATTTATTTAAGTAAAACTATTTTAAAATGAAAATACATCAATTTACTTATTTAATATTATTTTTCATATTTAATTCATATAGAACTTGTATGTTAATATAATACAGAATATAATTTAAAAATATAAAAAATAGTATAGAATGTTTATTTTCTTCTTTTATAATATGACTTTAATTAACCTTGATTTATAATAATATATTGTTAATTTCAAAATTAATTATGTATTAAATTTATAAACATATTTAAAGAGTTAGTAGGATTTTGTTAGATTATTTTTCAACAGAATTTGTTACAATTAAATATCAAATTCAAAGTTATAGTTGGTTTAGTATTAATCTACATAACCAAATATGCCATATTAATTAAATCTTTAGGTGGTTCAAGTATGACTTGTTATAAACATATTTAAAGAGTTAGTAGGATTTTGTTAGATTATTTTTCAACAGAATTTGTTACAATTAAATATCAAATTCAAATTTATAGGTTTACTATTAATTTAAATAATCAAATATGCCATATTAATTAAATCTTTAGGTGGTCCAAGTATGACTTGTTATTAATATATAAAAATAGAACTCTAAATTAATTGATTAGAAATTAATATATTTTTGAAAGTTTTAAAATAAATATAAAGATAATATGTAGTTGTAAGTATAAATGTTTAACATATGTTAATAAATTTATTTTTCTATAAAAATATTATATAGTTTACAAATTTTAACAAATATTCAAGATGAGTGATATTTATTTAAATGAAAGTATTTGAAAAGGTCAATTTACCTATTTAATGTAATTTTTTCATATTTAATTCATATAGAACTTCTATTTTAACATAATACAAAATATAATTATAAACTTTATAAAAATAGGGTATATTTTTAATGTGTGATTTTATAAAAAATATTTAAAATATTAGTAAGATTTTTTTTGGATTCTTTACATATTTTATTATAATTAAAATATAAAATTCAAATTTGTAATTGGTTTATTATTAATGTAAATAATCAAATATGTCATATTAACTAATTCTTTAGATGGTCGTAATATGACTTGTTAACAGTAGATAAAAATAGAATTATGTTTTAATAGATTAGATATATACATAGTAAAACATCTATAAATTAATAATGTTGGGACTATACCAAAATTATTATTTTTATTGATTGAGAGGCATTATTAATTTATTGATATAATAATTGAACTAGTAATTCAATCACTACAAGAAAACGCTGTTATAGCGACTACATATTACGACTACATATATGTAGTCGTAATTTACCATCGTCTTTACGACTAATTTACGTCTAAAAATGAATTAGTCGTAAAACAGAGGTTAACTTGCTACCAATAGCATTAGTCGTACATTAGTCGTAACATAATGACCAATGTACGACCACGTGTTCGTGTAAACGTACTTTAGTCATTAAATTACGACTAGTGTACGACGACTCGTGTTTAGGATTTCGGTCAAGGGTTTAATGGTAGGTCGATGCTAATTGGTCGTAATGTACGAAAAGATTACGACTAAATGATGGACGAAGATGCTAATTAGTCGTAAACCTTTCGAAGCTACGTAGTCGTAAAGTCTCTTATAAAAGAGCCATCGTTTTCTCCAAAAGCCAAACAAATATTTTAAAATATTTGAGATAAAGAGTTGATAATTGAGTTGAAAGATTTGAAAAAGAGAGAAGAAAGGTACTCGGATCACAACTCCGAAGAGATCAATGCGAGACGTACGTTGAAACGTTGGTTTCGCATAGAATCCACGGAGTTGTGATTTGAGTATCGTTCTTCAATTCTTTTTCAAATATTTCAAAAGTATCCATTGTTATCTACAAAATCTAAACAAATATTTTGAAATTTTATTAAAAAAGAGAGTTGATAATTGAGTCGAAAGATTTTAAAAATCTAAGAAAAAGAGAGAAAAAAGCTACTGAGATCAAACCTCCGAAAAGATTAATGCGGGACTAACATTGAAACGTTGGTTTCGCTTAGAATCTATGGACTTGTGATTCCAATATCTTAGTTTAGGATTGAAATTAGATATATTTGAATTATTTAATTTAACCGGTTTATGTTTTTTATAAATTTTAGATATATATATTGCTATATCTGGTAGAAAGAGAATCCGAAACCTCACGGTTAGAAACTCCTACGAGAGTACTTTTCTTGGTCAATCATAGACCCTAATGTTTCTACCTCGGCCGGCACATCATCCGGCGGCACCTCATCCGGCCATGACCCGGTTGCGGAGACCCAACCGGCCAGCACTACTCAGGATGATACGGATTTCTTCACTTATGTCCCGGATCCTGAGTATGTCCCTCCGCCTCCCCCACATGCCCAGAACCCGCAACAAAATCCTGATCCGGCTCCCAGTCTTCATCAAGATTTGATGGTGCCACCGAATGTACCATATCCAAGATATACGGTGGAAGATATTCTCGGGATGCTGGGACGAGAAGGTTAACGAATCGTCGGTCCGGATCGACGCCCGGCACGTTTTGGTAATTATTCTAAATTATTTAATTAAAATTTAAATTTTAAAAATTTATTTAATATTAATATATATTGATATAATTATATAAATTCTTTCCAATTTTTAGGTTTTTGACGGACAATGTTTTAGGACAGAGCGTCGGGGATATCATTCGGGCAAATTTTCGGCATGCCCACCCAAACTAGACTCTTAAACCGGACCACGTTCGCATTACGTGGTTCAAGTGTTTCACGGTTAGTTTCTCCATTTAAAAAAAAAAAATAATTCATGCATCGATAGTATGTTAAAGTACTACAACTAATGTTTTTTAATTTTTCATAAATTTTTTGTAGCAAAAATGGAATTGGTCCATTGGTGTCAACGAGGAAGTCAAAGCTGGGTTCTACAAAAAGGCTATGCAGCGCCTCAAGAACATTGTTGGAGATTGGAAGCACGACTGGAGGCTAAGACGGGATGACGCAAAACCAACCTACCTCAGCAATGACGTTTGGGTTGGTTTGGTGGCTTTTTGGATGAAGCCTGATTCAAGGGCGAAGTCTACCAAGTACTCTGCGGTCCGGATGACCAAGGATGCTCAAGGTAACCCGCCAGTTCCTCATACTTCTGGGCAGACCCCACATGCTGGGAGGGCACTTGAAATTGTAAGTGTTTGAATATTCTTGATTTTATTATTATTTTTTAACGCAAAATTTTAATTTTTTTTTTTTTATAAAGGCTGCCAAAGAAGGAGCGCCGCCATCTCTCGCCCGGCTATACAAGATTACCCACCAGCGTTTTGATGGGAATTTTGTGCATCCTCAAGCAGAGAAGATCTACAACGAGGTAGAGGCTCGGATCGAAGAGGTCCAGACTCAGATGTCGCAACAAAATCCGGATGCTCCACCGGTCCAGCTTTCCACCATCGACCAAGAAAAGATTTTTGAGCAGGTAAATTATTTTAATTTTTAACTTTATTAACATTTTTAATTTTTTTATTAAATTTTCACATTTTTTCTTAATTATATAAATATAATTAGTAAATAAAATTTGATCTTTTGTAGGTTGCTCCGAAGAAAAGGGGACGTATTGTTGAGATCGGGACTGTGAAACAACTTAAGTAATCTAATCATACTTAGAGAGGATCCATTGTGCCAGCAAAATGAGATATGGAAGTGATTTAGGCCTCAAAGTACAGAGCCAATTAGTATTTAGTAGCTAATAATATTTTTTTTAAGGGAAAATTGTATAACTACCATTTTTGTGATACCACAATTCAAGTTTACCAAAACTCAAGGGACATTTTCAGAAATACCTAGATCATTAATAGAAAAAGACAAAAATAACCCTTTCATGATTTTCTATCTCTTTCTCGAGACTTTGACAGAACGACGGCGAAGGCAACGAGATCGAGCGACGAGATAATCCAGAGTTCCACTTGGATTCACCGATGTGAGCAAGGGGAGACAATGGTTTGATGGAAGAAGACGATGTTGACGCTATTATCGAGGAAAACGGTGTTGACTACGAAAGCGATTCCGAGCTTTCCTCAAACCTCCGTGACTTTGCCGCCGCTGCTCAGTCCGGTGACGTCGTCGCCTTGCGCACCGCCATTGGTACTTTCTTTTCTTCTATACGAATCTCTTAAAGCTCACATTCGATTGCGTTATGCTTTGATTAGCTTTGGCTAGGATGTAAAGACTCAAGCTTTTTTAATGGAACTAATCATCTTCGAAACCAAAGAGTAGACTTGCCTTGCTAGAATTTAACGCATAATTAATTTAAAATGAAAAAAATCCTACACCATTAGACAAGATGCACCATTTAATGTGTATTCTGTCTACTTTGCTTATGTTTTGAGTGATTTGTTGCTCGAGGCTGTGATGGACATGACAAATGATCTGAATTCTCTTATTGAGTCTGATAAGTTTCAAGTGGTAGACAAGTAAAGTTATCAGTTTTGCTTCGAAATTGGCTGATATGTCCTTTATGTGTGCAATTGTTACAAGACTCAGCTTATGAAGACAATATGTTTCTTCTTCTTTTTCCTGATGATTTGCTTATCCGCCTTTGAATTTGGTAGACAATCTGAATGGGAGAGTTGATGAGCCACTTGAGGATAATGACTCGGCACTTCACCTTGCGTGTCTCTATGGTCACCTTCCTAGTGTTCAGGTTTTTTTTTTTTTTGCTTTTACTACCTTCTGCTTGGTCATTTCTACCCAATTTTTGTCAGCGGATATGTTTTTGTAAACTTATTTGCTGCAGCTTCTCCTGGAGAGAGGTGCTAATATGGAGATCAAAGATGAAGATGAAGCCATTCCTCTGCATGATGCTTGTGCTGGAGGTAAACTTGGTCTTCGCCCTCTTTTTCGTNTTTTTTTTTTTGCTTTTACTACCTTCTGCTTGGTCATTTCTACCCAATTTTTGTCAGCGGATATGTTTTTGTAAACTTATTTGCTGCAGCTTCTCCTGGAGAGAGGTGCTAATATGGAGATCAAAGATGAAGATGAAGCCATTCCTCTGCATGATGCTTGTGCTGGAGGTAAACTTGGTCTTCGCCCTCTTTTTCGTATCTCTTTCTCACACCATGTTCAAGTTTTATAGCTTTTCTTTTGTTGAACTTGGGGGCTAGCAGGAAGGATACTTAGAGATAGTCGAGCTTCTATTTAGCCGAGCTAGTGGTCCTGAATATGTGAAGAGAATGATTGAAACTATTGATGTAGAAGGTGACACTGTAAGTATTATTCACCATCTACAAATCAATCACTCTCTCCATCTCTCTGACCTGTGATTAATGACAAATTGTTCTTGATCACACAGCCTCTGCATCATGCAGCCAGAGGCGAGCATGTCAATGTGATTAATTTTTGCTGAGTTCAGGTGCTTCACCAACAATCAAAAACTCGTATGGGAAGGTAAACGTTCGAAAACATTTTGCATCTTTGGTTCTCCTTGTCTTCTTGATTAGTGATAGCAAGCTTGTGATTATCTGCAGACACCAAGTGAACTAGCTGATGTAAACACTGATGCTAAGAGGATCCTCGAAGCTGCCACTGGCGACTCACTTAGCTCCTAAAAGTTTCTGCCAAGTTCTTGGGCAGTGATGTTACGAAATATTTCTCAAAAGGTTTTGACTTGTCTTTCACTGTTTTATACAAAGGATTATAACCTGATACCTAAGATTTTAAAATGTTGTGTCGGTTTTCAGGTATGAAATTTATTATCAGATTAATAGTAGATTTGAATGGCTTCTCGTTAAGCCTTTTATATAAAGAAGAATAAAGATGCTAATAAAAGCCTCGTCGTATTGCAGTCATGTTTGGAAGTGTTCCTTTAATAATTGATATTGTGACTTATAACTAGTAGGGGAGAGAGAGACCTCACTGATGCGCCGTTAACTTATATGCCTGTTTTGCTATGTCCATGAGCAAACACTAAAAATGATAGAAAATGTTGAAGTGTTCAAAGACCTTGAATTAATCAAGGCAGGTGTTGAAAGCTACGCTTTCAAATCTTTATAATTCACACATCTTATATATTAAAACAGAAGTCATGACTTGATTTCATGTGTGATTTTTAAAAAAATGGACTGTTACTAGAAAGTTATGTTACATTAACTCTCTAATAATATTATCATTATTTTATCTTATAATATGCTTAACAATTTTGTTTTGGTAAATTACCCCACACCTTCCAACTTAGTCACGCAAAATATGTCAATAGATATNATAGAAGAAGAAACAAACACATGTTTGAAAGTCATGTATAATATAGAAAATTTGAAACAATCTATTTGATTAAAACACTTATTATATAATATTATTATGTTTGAAAAACATTTACTATACATATCGTAAATATGTGATTACTATAATATATACCAATTTACAAGTGAAAACAAAATGTTTATATAACTAGAAACAAAATATTTATATAACTATAAACGAAAACAAACACCCGCGCGGTTGCGCGGGTCAAAATCTAGTTGTATATTTACAATAGATCTCATTTACATTATATACTCCTCCACGATTAAAATGGGGAACAGGAATTCAACCTGTGAGTTTGGTTATCTACGAAACAAATATTACTTAAACCCGGTTCAGTGTTGCGACTATGACTAGTAAATATTTATGAACTCTCTTATAAATGATTTAGAAGTCTTTAAAAATAATAGTAAACCCTTCTAAAAATAATTTATAAACTCTATAACCATTTATCAACTCTTATAATATTATTTATAAACGCTTATAAAATTATCCATGAGCAATTGTAAATGATTTCTAGGACTCTACTAGATGAACAGTAGAACTTTCATATTTGATTGATCAACTCTTATAAAGCCATGAACATAAACAAAAAAACTCTTATAAACCCTTACAAGATGATTTAAAGCATTGCAAGTCAAACTATAAACTTTTATAAATCATTTTATAACACAGAAAAAATTCAGTTTATTCTATTTCAGTTTATAAACATTTATAAATTAGTTTATAGACACTTGTAAATCCATTTATAAACCNATCATTTTATAACACAGAAAAAATTCAGTTTATTCTATTTCAGTTTATAAACATTTATAAATTAGTTTATAGACACTTGTAAATCCATTTATAAACCATTATAAATGCAATTATAAATCCTTATAAATCAATTTATAAATTCTAATAAATACATTTATAAACCCTTATAAATTAATTAATAAAATTTTATAAATGTGCAAAAATTTGGTATTTCATTTTTAAGAATTTAAAAGGGTTTCTATCATTTATAGACCCTTTTAAATCCTTTTTATAAACAGATTATAAGAATATATAGAAACTTTTTTATAATAATCAATAAATCATTTATAAGAATATATAAAATTACTTATAAGGGTTTATAAAATTATTTATAAGGATTTGTAAAAATTCTAAAGATAATTCAATTATAAAGTCTTAAAACATTTTATAAAGGCTTATAAATCATTTATAAGAGTTTATAAATCATTTATAAGGGTTTATAAATCATTTATAATGGTTTCTAAATCATTTATAATGATTTATAGATCATTTATAAATATTTATAAAATCATTTTTAAATTATTATTAGTTTTTTATAAGGCTTTATAAATTATAAACATTATTTTAAAAGTTTATAAATTATATATAAGACTCATTTTAAATATTTATAATGGATTTATAAATCAATACAAAATGATGTATAAACATTTATAGCATAGTAAAATATTTTAGATGATTTAAAACTCTTACAAATAATTTATAAGCGTTTATAAATGTTTATAGCTAATTAAATCCTTATAAACTTGACCACAGTTGCCTGACTGCTTAAACAATCTATAAGCAGATTCAGTAGAGTAGGCTAATGTGTTCTCACAAAAGTAAATCCAAGGGGGTTTCTTTAATCACCCTAAAAACAAATATTATATTTGTTTCAGTGCTTCCTTTATTGTTTTTTCTGCATGCTAGTCTTTCAGCATACATGATTTTATTACTCTTATAATAGTTTATAAAACTTTTATACATCTTTATAAAGATTTATGAGAACATGAGCTTAGTTTTTTTTATACGATTTTATAAGGATTTATACAATTTATAAATGTTTATAAATTGTTTATAAGGATTTATAAAGGTTTATAAACCATTTATAAATGTTTTATAAATCATTTATTAGAGTTAGTTAGTCTTTTTAAAAGGTTATAAACAATTTTAGAACTCTCTAAACCATTTTTAGAAATTAATAAAGTATATCTTATAAATTATTTATAAGGGCTAACTAGATCGTTTATAAATTATTTATAAGACTTTGTATATCATTCTCTATATTTCTATCTTATAAGTCATTTACTGAGTCTATAACCATTTAGAAAGACTTATAAAACATTTTATAATGGTTTATAAAATAATTTGTAAGGAATTATAAGGGTATGTATAAAAACAATTTATAAAGTCTATACACATTATAAAGAATTATAAAACAATTTATAAGGGTATGTAAAATTATTTGTAAGAGTCTATAAATCATTTATAAAGGTTTATAAAACAAATTATAAAATCTATAAACCATTTATAAATGTTTATAAGAAAGTTATGAAAGTTAATAAATAATTTTATAGGATAAAGTTTATCAATAATTTTCTGTTGACGATGTTAGCATGTTTAACATATACTAGGTGATTTTCCCGTGCTCATGCACGGATATGAATATTCATAAAAGTAAAATTTTATAATAATTGATTGATATTTAATTTAAATTTTGAATCAATTTATAGAAATAATTTATATTACTAAATACTATATTATTCTAATTATACATATGACTTTGGGTATATTATTGTCGGTTTAATTATTTTTTGGATCAATAGTCGGTTTGGTTATCAATTTGGTATATTAGATAATATCTATTTTCAAATTCATCTATAATATTTTTTATTTTAAATATAATAAAACTTTGATTAATTTTCTTATTTTCATTTCGGTTGGTTATTGTCTTAGATATGTAAATATATTATAGTTAAATTATGTATAACTTAGTATATATTGTGTTTAAAACGAAATAAATAGTAAGCTGAAGTGTTCGATTTAAATTTACATAAATGAATATAATGATAATATCTTGAAGTCTCATGCATATATATATATATTCTACAGAAGAATTCAGATTTATGTACAAAAATCGATAGACCCTACTATTATGTGCATATTTGATGAAAATGCAATCAACTGTTTTAGGTCCAATAGTGACCTTCTTTGGTGGTGGAACTGCAAATTTTGCCAAGCACCCCCAAAATTTGAGGCATTTATACGAATATAAATTACCTTTCCATAATTCATATTGTGTTTTTTTTCCCAGTTATTTTGTGTGAAATTTTGTTGAAGATATAATTAGTGGTAAGCAATGTTTCTCTCCACATGTTTAGGGGTAACCCAAATTTCTGCAACATTGCACTCATCATCTTTTTTATTGTTTGATTTTGGCTTTCAGCAACTCCATTAGAATCTTGTAAGTAAAGAGCTGTAGTTTAATGGATTATTCCATATTCTTTACAAAATGTATTAAATGGACCATCATACTCGCCTCCCCTGTCGGTTCTAACTAAACATATGTAGACTATATGCATATTCGATAGACTCTAAAAACTATAAAACTGACTAGACTTATACTAATGATTAGACAGACATTTGCGAGTGTTTGCGAAAAATTCACTGACTTGGATTACTTGTATATCAACTAAGTATGTTTTCTGCATGCGCTAGATCTGGTCTGGTATAATTGATCAAGTACATGAGATTTCCAATCACACGTGCATACTCGTTTTGTGAAACTGCTTCACCTGAGTATTTTGTCAAGTGCATTTGGGGATCTAACAGAGTTTTTCTCCGTACTATTAGAGTAATTTTTAAATCTATTTAATATTATTTGAGCATACTGAGATTGAGTTAATATAATTCCATTTGAATTTTTTAAGACTTGAATTCCAAGAATTACATATACTATCCCATCTCCTTCATCTCAATTTTTTTTTCAAGCATGTTCTTTGTTTGATTGATAATGTCTTTATTGTTTCCAATAATGAGCATATCATTAGTTTTATAGTATATGCATTTGTCCCAATCATTAATTTTGAAACCATTTGACATTATTGTATTGTCAAATCTTTCATGTCATTGTTTAGAAGCTTGTTTAAGTCCATAAAGTGACTTTATTAGTCGGCATACTTTGTTTTTCTGTCCAGGAATCACAAAACTCTCAGGTTGTTTCATGTAAATTTTCTCTTCTAAATCACCATTTAGAAAGGCGGTTTTTGCATCCATTTGATAGATTTCCAGGTCTCTTAACGCTGGAATTGCAATCATCAATCTTATTAATATTATTCTCGTTACTGGTATGTATAAAAATAGTTAAAACCTTTCTTTTGTCGGAATCCTTCAACTACATACCTAGATTTATATTTTTCACCAGGTTTTTGTGTCATTATCCATCTATTCCCTAATGCTTTGCAGTCAGGTGCTAAATTTGTTATATACTATATATAGCTTTGCATGATAGAATCAAATTTACTTATGACAGTTTTGTTCCAAAATGGAGCTTCTAGTGAATCCATAGCTTATGCCAAAGCTTTTAGAACATTTTTTTATTAAAAACGCCAAAATATTTATCAGAAGACTTTTCGAGTTATTTTGCTCCATATTGAGTCAGAGGCCCACCAAAATCCAAACCCACACTGAATTAGCCGAACGGTGGTGGCGCGCGTGAAATATCTTCCTCTCTCTTAAGCTGTTTAAGTTAAGACATATGAGAATATATATTTATATTGCTTACTTCTTCTCCTCTTCATCGATGTGGGGTGTTTCACGTTTTATCATTATTATTGTTATTTTGGGCTATCCAACATATAGGCCAAATTCATTTGCTTTTCACAATTTTTATTAAAACCTATTGATTTTAATTGCTCCAACACGACAAAATAACAAAATACTAAAAAAACTATGACATCTTTATAAGAAAACTAATAGAAAAACTATTACATCTTCTATATTTATTGTGTTGTTTGTTTTTACTAATAGAAATGAAGAGGTTAATGCTTAGTGATCAAATGTGAGTTTCTTTATGTTTAATATTTTTTTAAACAAAGTTAGAACCAAATTAATAACCAATCCAACTGAAATGTATCAAATACAAACCAAACTCAAATTAAACTGAACCAAACCAAACCACACCAAACTAATTTCGGTTGACCTCAGTTAGAGATTTTTTTAAAAAAATTAAATAACCAAAACGAACCACACCAAACCCAAACCTGAATTTCAACCAAAATTCCTACCTAATAGATCTCAACTCTATATCTTGATGAGGGAAGAAAAAATAGTTACAAGAAAAAGTAGAAAACTAGTCCGGGTACACACGAAATGATACTTGGAAAAAATCAGTTACTACCGTTCGTTTCAAATATTTGGAAATTTGAATTTTCAGATTTTTTTTCAATTGGTTTGATCATTTTAAAGAAGATATATTTTATGATATAAATACACTATTTAGGCTTTAGTTTTCGTTTATGTAACAAGTGAATTTAACTCTCTGACATTGAGTCCTCTACTTATATCATCAGTTAAGTTTAATATAATCGCTAGTTACTGAAAAACAACTATTAAAATAGAGGAATTACCTAGAATAACATAAATTTATTCAGTATTGATTAGAATAACACACCAAAAAAGAAGAAGAAAAATGTGAGTAAAAGTCTGAAATGCCCAATCGGTAATTTATTTTTGTCAACTTTTTATGAGAGACTCTACACTAATTAGAAGCTTTGGTTTAGGAGAAAAGGTAAAACAATCTTCATGAAAGACTCTATACAAAAGAGAAGCTTTGGTTTAGGGAAAAAAGGTTAAAAAAAAAAAACATAACTCCCCCACATATTCTCTTTTCTTCCCGACACAATTTTGCATGAACCCTAAATCCCCAAATAACAAAATCTTCAAACTCTCTATTCTCTGATTTTTTTTCATGATTTCTCTTTGATTCCGTCATACCCGAACCCTACTCTACCACTAACACATTCGATTCACATAGGAGAAGTGAGTCTGAAACCCCATTGAAGAACCCATAATGTATACTAATGTTTAGTACTTGCTTGGTAGGTACGTGTCAGACACCTCATTGTGAAGCTAGAACTCGACATATATCCTCAATGGGATGACGACAAGGTTGATGATGCTCTTCACAACTTGATTATAGACATTCTACATGAGAATTTCGATGATACGTATTGATCCATGAAAGCACGTAATGCACCAATAGCAAACATAGAAAAAATGAAATTAGTGAGGGAAGAAGAAGCATGTATGAAGAAAAACTGTCCAAAAGAAAAGACATCTGCTGTGAGTATATTTAGTTTTGTTTTTACTTTTATGTGTTATGTTATTACTGAATTTGTTGACTATATTATTGCAGCCATGTGGAGATGATACATTTCGGCATGACCTAATGGAAATGATGAACACGTTGACTACAAAGATTAGAAGTATGGATACAGTTATTGTTGAGAAGGTGTTGACTGCAGTAGACACAACCATTGACGCTAAAGTAGATGCAAGGGTTTGTCAAGCCGAGCTGGTACTTAACAAAAAAATCTCAGATTTAGAAGAAATGATTGACAAACTTAGACATCAGAGGCAAGCTACTGCCCCTAAAAATAATGCAAACTTTGTTAACCAAGAAGATGAAGTCAACAACAATGATCCAGTTAGTAATTTTCTTTTCTTCTTAATATTTCTATTTAAGGTTACATAACTTACTAATTAAATTCTTATTATTTTTTATATACTCAAATAGTCATAGTTGGTCCAAGATAAGACACCATCACCTTTGGATGCGGCATCTCAGTGTGTGGTTAGAAAGAAAGGAAAAAATAATGAGTTCAAGCAAGATATTGAAAGGTCATTCTCTCCTATTCTACTTGAACGTGAGGGTGAGAAGGTTGTCGAAGAAAAGAAAGTAAAAAGAAGGTTGGAGGGTTGACAAAAAGTAAAGACATAAAATATTGAAGTTCCAACGTTTAAAGATTCTTCTGCAACTTGGTCTAATCCAGAGGACAAGGAAAGATATGGTGAATTAGGTGCCACATTAGACGAGTTGGCGGCATCCTTGTTAGATGGACCTTTGCAAAAATGCAAGCCACAGCTGACAAAGACTCAAGTGTTTCCATATGTCATAAGCTCAACTGTGAAGAGGATCATAACACACGATGATGATTCTAAAGCCCACTATGATCCTTTAGATAACGTTGATGAGACAAAATTGAAGAAGCTACTGGATTTTCTGGAAATCATTCGTAAGTGTGATGATGATATATACTTCGTTGTTCTAAATTATTAGTATCACATGTAAGCTAACTTGATCTTGTCTTTTTTTCATTCCAGAAAGGATGGATACGATGGAACGTCCAGTTCAGAATCTCTCTTCTATAAAAGGCCAATAACACCAATAGATAAATGGGAAACATATAATTACGGGTGTCTAACAAATTCTGTAAGTTTCTCATCTTTTCTTGTACTAACTTGAACACAATTTTGTTCCGCTCAATTATTAGTGAATTCTGAACTTAAACAATTTTCTGTTGACAGCATATGACAGCTGCAATGCGAATGCTGCATAAAAAGATCTATGAGGAAATCGTCACAATTCTCATTCTCAAGGATGCATTTTCTGACCACTGGTTTTTCCAAACGTGGATCAAAGACTTCAAGTCCTATGAACCTAAGACATGGAAGTTCAAAGATTGTTACAAGAGGGAATTTAATGGAAACTACTCATCAGATTTTACAAACAACAAAAAGTGTCTGACGGATGTGGATACTTTGTATCTTTTCCACCTGATTAATGGTGACCATTGGGTGGCTTTAGAAGCGGATCTGTTGAAGCAAACGGTCCATGTTTATGACAGTATACCGACAGTTGTCCCGGACATGAAAGATCTTCAAGAAGAGTGTCTTCCTTTCACAAAGATGATTCCTTTGTTGCTAAATGAAATGGTTCCAGAAAAGCATAGGAACAAGAGTTCCCAACAGTTCAAGCTTTCAAGAAATAAAAAGGTCCCAAAGAATGATGAACCTGGTGACTGTGGTGTATACACTCTGAAGTATATAGAGTGTAGGACGATTGGCTGCGGTTTTGAAGGACTTTCTGGCAAATTAATTCCTGCACTGCGTATTAAGCTAGCTGCTGAGATCTATGATGAGGTCTCAGAGATGTAGGTTTATTTCATGTTGCGAACATATCTTTACTTTCATGTTTAATCTACTTTATGTTGTGAAAATATATTTATTTTCATGTTCAATCTAATTTCATGTTGTGAATGTATCTTTATTTTCATGTTTAATCTACTTTCATATCGTTTATTTTCATGACTTGAAAGACACTATCTAATGAGATATATGTAAAAGATAAACTCATTGTCAAAGTAGAAACAAGTGAAACATAGACGAATGAAATAAAGACTCATTGTCTAACCAGAAACATGTAAAAGAGAGACTCATTGTCTAAGTAGAAACAAGTGAAACATAGACACATTGTCTAAACACCAGGACACATTTATTGTGACCAACATGATTAAAAATTGAACATTTATGCTCCTTTGTTGAACGTTTCTTTGTTTCATCTTTCTTAAACCAAGACTTCATTCTTGATTTTTTGGGTCTCCCTGGTGGTTGCCGAACCACATGAGGCAAACAAATAATTTTTGCGACATTATCAGGTACTGATGTTTCAGCATCTCTTGGAATTACTGCAGTGGAGTAAGCGTTGTACATATAGTTTGCACGGTAGTATGGATGACAGAGTGAAATCGTTGATAAGTTTCTCGCTTCCGCTGCTGCAATTGCATGCATGCAAGGTAACTTTTCTAAGTCAAATCTGCGGCAAGAACATCTTCGATCTGTCAAATTCACTATGTGTGTAGATGAGACACCGGTCACCTGTTATTGGTGAATATTTATCTGCTGGACGCCTAGAATTTTAGCATACGGTATACGGCCCTGTGAAAGTATGTCTGCAATGTTAGTTTTGTGTTCATAAAATATGCATGTGCTATAGAAAATCAAGTCTACCTATAAAAGCTTCTCAACTCCACGAGTTAGAGTTGTCTTAATCAAATACACATCATTTTGTGCGGAAAACCAGCGAGTCATCATTTACCTAATTGCTTCTATAAGTCTTACAATCAGAAAACTCCTTACATTTGAAAGCACTCTGTTTACAGATTCAGCTATGTTTGTCGTAGTTAAGTTGTACCTATCACCAGGGAAATGAGCTCGTGCCCATTTTTGTACGTATGCTTTATGAAAATAGCCATGCAAAGCTGGGTGCAATGTTTTGATCTCATCAAAATATGGTCTCAAAATCTGAAATCCTGAATGAATTAGCTGCCTTTTTAACCAAGCCAAACAACTCGCGACCTCTAAACTTTAACAAGAAATTCTTATACAAGTGGTAAGTGCAAACTCTGCGGCTGGAAGTTGGATACATCTCGACAATTGCATTGCCAATTGATTTGTGCCTATCAGAAATAATAGCAAGTCTTTCATCATCTGGTATCACACAACTGAGTTGTCTGAAAAACCACTTCCATGATTCTTCATTTCTGTATTGATTATCGCAAATGCGATTGGAAATATCTGAAAGTTATCGTCTTGTGATGACGCAATTAGTAGAGTCCCTTTATACTTTCCTAGGAAGAAAGTGCCACTGACCACAATAACCTTCCTCATGAATGAAAAACCCTTGATGCTAGCACCAAATGCAATGAAAAAGTACTTGAATCTATCGCTAGAATCTACTACAAGGCGAGTGAATGTCCCAAGATTTTATTTTCTAATCATGTGCAGATACACACAGGTAAATCATGGTAGCCAATCTCTAGGGATTCCCTAACCAATTCTCTTGCACATATCAGTGTCCGGTGAGCTTTCCAGTAGTCAATCTGTCATTTACAATAGTAAGCAACAATCAGAAATATATCAAGTTTTTGAGTATATAAGAAAATGAAACAATCCTTTACTCCAAAGCACATGCTAAGGGACTACTGCACATGAGTTGGCAAAATGGTTGGCTCCACTCCACCAATAAATTCAGTGTACAAAGATCCAAGAATCTTTGGTATTGCTTGTCTGCAGCAAGCTGATCTTTTTGTAACTGAACAAGTATGTTCAGAAACATAGCTTCGTACGGTAAAGCGAGGAGTATCACTTGTGGGTGATGCTCTTAGGTTCCAACAACAGCCTTGAACCCAACACTTTACGGTTAACAGAATCCGTGTTGAGTACTCAACATCATAATCGAATTGCTCCACTATCGTCAATATCTTGAGTCGGTTTTTAATGCAAACTTGGAGTCAAAACTTTGGCCAACAACTATTTTTAGTGAATTCAGCTGTTGCCAAACAAGTGGATTCGATTCCTTAGCCTTTTTAGATTTTGTAAGATCCGATCCTGGATTCCTCAATCCAACCAGACCGCAGTCTTACCACACAATCTAATCAGTCAGATTCCAATTATTCCAGTTCAAGTGCAATATTTACTACGTATAAATCAGAGTATTGAGGTTCAGTTCAATATGCACTTCGACAATTAAAATCAACCACACCATAAATACTTCATAATAGATAAAACAGAATCAAACATCATTCATTCGTTCAGCATAAACAAGTTGCACATTAGGCTAGCATAAGTTCACAAGTTGCACAATAAACTACTAAGATAACACCACTACTAGGAATGAAAAATTCACCACACATCTTCCCATGGCCTGAGTCCTCACGGTGCTTTTCCTTTACCACAGTCCAGGTCTGTACCTGAGACCAAGACAACCATACAACACAAACACATGATCAGTTTACTACACAAGAAACTATCACACTGCACGGTAGGATCAAAACTAATCATCTCATTACACATCAAGACCACATTTGGCCATTTTCAAAAGTACACCAGAAATTAATTAAAATTCATGTAAACTCATTATAATTCCCAACTAAGAGATTCCCAAGATCAGAATCCAATGAATCGACCCAGACCACATGGATTCGGATCATGATCAGTCAAATAAATCAAAACTTGACATCATCAAATCAATTTCGAAAAACTAATTAAAATTCATGATAATTCATGATAATTATCAACTAAGAGATCCCCAAAAGTAAATTCTCAAATTCGTCTTAGATCATATAGATATCGACCATGATCAGTCCGGCCAAGGCCATGGACTATTATGACTAATTTGCTCCGGCCAAGGCCTAAGATCGGTGTCTTCAAACCTGAAACATCAACATCCAATACCACAACAAAAAATAGATTAAGAACAGAGTATAAGTTCAGAGTAAGGTGGAACCATCCGAACCAGACAGAACCATAACCACAGACGGCTTAACCATCGGTTATGTTAACTGGTTCTTGGCCACAACTCTCACCTTAGGGTTACGATCTCCAGGGGCTGTCTCCTTCTCCTTCTATTTGTATTTCTGTCTCGTGTCCATCCTTACAATATCTCAGACAATCCTCACCGGAAAACACCAAGAACCACCACGAAATCAATTCTCAACTGCCGGTTTCTCTTTTTTTTTTCTCTGGAAGTTGTCTGAGTTTCATTCTTTTCCTCTGATGATTTTCGACAAAGAGAAGAGATAAAATGAAGGGGAAAGCTGTGATAACCTCCTTGGATAACTTCCTGGACGAGCGGTTACCAAAATAACTAAGGAAAGGAGAGTTTCTTCCCATAACCGCCCAGTAACTGCCATTGGCGGTTTCTCCCTTTCCCTCCTTTCCACAAATCTTTGAGAACTTTCTTTGATCATCTTATTCTTTAGTGTTGGACGTCAGCCTCAGAATTATTCTTCATAAATACGTTAAGATTAGCGAAATGCTGTTTTTTTTCTTTTCGGCTGAAATGTTGATTTGAAAAAGTCAGTTTTCTTTTTGTGGTTGTATTTCGTCTTTAAACTGCACTATCATCAAAAGAAAAACGGAATTTTGAAGAATCTGTCCCCTTTGTATTCTTTTTACTGAGGTTAAATGTGACTGCACACACCAGAGAGTTACTAGTTTGGACATTGAAAGATTACAATTAGGTGCTGTTGTAGATGGATTATATACCTTCAAGAAAATTCATCAAGTAAACTGAAATCGGTCCAATTGACCAAAAAAATTAATGGAACACGCCGACTTGGAAGAAAAAAAAACAAAGTTCAGCTATATAAGGTAAAAACTTAGATTAGAGTAAATACATTCACATACACACAGAGAAGTCGATACAAGAAATATGGTTTACAAAGATTTTTCGTTCTTCCTGAAATTATGATCTCTTTATGATTTCATAGTTTTTTTTCCCTTGTAATCGTCTCTAATCAATCAATAAACTTCTTTCAAATAACTGACCCTCGAATTCTTGCCTTCTTTTTGTACATAACAAATTCAGATTAAACAGGTGGAGTGATATCACCATTCATTGGTAATTGATATACCATGATTTTGACCCGT